CAACGAAAAACTATTTTTTCCTGAAGCCAAGCAACTTCCGGGTCAGGGTCAAATCTCGTACCAAGGAATGACTAGAAAATTGATTGGACAGGACAGACGCTTCGACCCAAGTCGGGGGAGCCCAACACCCCTAGCGCTCATGAAGAAGGCAACACAACGCCGTATGACATCCCACGCAAACAGGAGCCGCCCATCCAGTGATATATCCTCAGGTATCTCGACACATTTGAAGGAAATCGTGCAGCTCTTTCAAGCTGTCGTGGTCGACACCTTTGGTGTAAGCGCACTGCTTTCCGTTTCCGATCGACACCTCGACGGATCGCCGGACGAGCCATGCGACCCCGCCCGAATGCCGGAACAGACCACTCGCGCGCACCTTTTCAGGCCCCAATCGCGTCGTCTCACGATCCCAAAGCTCCTGCCACCGCTCTATAGCGGACAGGATGACAGGAGCACTTGCGGAAAGAGTGGACATGAGGCGCGCCGAGACAATAGATGCACTTAGTCCTGCGTTACGTGTACTTTGTGTTAGATTCGGCTGAAGCGGTGACCACGGAGGCTCAAAGAGCCGGGGAAACAGGACATCACATACCACCGATAAGAAAGTAAAGATTCATCAGAGTGACTGGCTCCAACGGAAAGTGGCTGGCGCCGAGCCAGCCGTCCTGCATGAGGACGGCCAAACAATGACTGAGAGATGTGCGTGACCGCGATGCCTCGGCCTCCCTTGAAGCCATGAGCCTAAACTCCGTAGCGTCCGCAGCACTCCACAGTTCTTCGGAGCAGGGAAAGTCGCCCGTCATCTCGGCGCTCGCTATGATGGGCGGCGAGTTGAACGTCCCGCACTGCGACCAGTCAATCAAAGCGGCCCAGGCGGCCAGCCTATTCACGAGTTAGCAAGAATTGAACCGCATCCACCAAAAAGTCCTACGCGTTCAAAGGAGCCCTTACCGAATACAAGTTTCTATGCGAATGAAATCGTCCCACGGGGTGTCCTCGGGAAGATTGTCGTGCTTCATCTGCAGCAAGCCAAGCGACCGGATGGTCGCCACAATGACCGGCAGGTTCTCTGTGCGTGTTCTGCGGCGCACCTTCTTGTCATTGACGAGGGCGCGCATGCTATGTATGTTGAGGGCGGCGAGAAGCACCTCGATCACACGTTTTCGATGGCAATTTCTGGCGCGGCTCGAGAGCCACGACCTCGCGAGACGCTGGAAAATGTACTCCTCGCCCGACGCGAAAAAAGGTGTGCGGCGAAGAGGGCGTCATCTCGCGGCACAGCGCGCATCGAGCCCCATTGAGTATGAAGGGCAAGGAGGAGCCTCCGGGGAAGAATCTTCGTAGCTGAAGGAGGCCACGTGCGCTACCGGGAAGTCGGGCTGCGTGTATCGGAAAAAGGTCGAAACGAAAAGCTTGGCGTTGCGAGCGGTGAAAACCTGCTTCGCAGAGTCGATGCTGAACGTCTCGCTGTACGAAGCATCCATCGCTGAGAGTCGAGCGTGGACAGCGCCGAGCTCGGCAACAATGAAGGCCAATCGCGCATCGAGCGCCGGCGATGAGTGATCAATGTCGGGCACCTGGTTGAATAAGTCGTACATGTCGAGCTCATCTTCGACATCGCCCATGAGAATGTCGGTAATGTTCCACGGGAAGAATTCTCGCTCCGGGTCAAACTCTGTGCCTCCTATTTCGGCCTCTCTCATGGGCTCACAGAAGAAAGACTTGATCATGGTTTCGGCTTTTGGATCTGTCATGCTGAGCAAGAAGGGTATGGACAGTCGAGCCCGGGCGTCACGGGTATATGGTTTGCGAATCCTCAAAGGGTCCATCCCTGAGGCATTCGAGGGGTCCCGCTGCACCTTGTTGTAGGAGCAGATGGAGTGGCGAGACACGCAACGGCCGCATGGCTCGGCGAGGTCGCACGCCAACTTGCTGTGCGCGCATGCATCACAGGCGCGAGGCTTTTGACCACGCTTGATGGTCTGAACTTCATGAGAAGGGCGACCGCGATTGTTGCCCTTGGTCAGGCAAGAGGTGGCATGCTTCCGGCACACGTCGCTATGGCACGGTGAGTGGGTGCATGCTGGCTGAGTAGGAGGACAGGAGGGGAGGGTCATATACGAGGAGAGATGAAGGGGCAGGTGAGGGGATCAAGAGTTGGAGTGACAAAAGACAAAAGGGTTCACTGACCGACGAGCAAAAGCCTTGGTACAGTACGGGCAGCTGAAGCGGCCATTCTCGGCATCTACTCGAAGTCAGACTTTCTGTCCTAGCTGTCCAGAGTTTGCGGGGTGCATGGGGAGGGGGAAGGGTGCTCAAAGGTGAGGTGAGAGAGGGGCTCGTCATTGAGATCTGGGTACATGAGGCTATCAGGACAATGGTGAACTCACGGGTAGACTCATGACGCCGGAGGTGGGTGTTCCTCTGATACTCCTTTCCGCAGACGGAGCATTCGAATGTCATCTTGCATCTTGAGAATCTAGACGTCCTACATGTTCTGCTTGGGTTTTCTTCTGGCGGCTGAAGACCATTTGATGGGAAAGAAATGGCCATCGAGGTTGGCTCCGGTTGGCATCCAGGGCAGTCGGTGCCTACGACGGACCCCGACAGCAGTGAACTGGTGGGTTTTGGTGGGTTTTTTCCGATGGGTCCGACGCTGTTGAGCTGGCAGGGTGGGCATATGCAAGTGCTGCCAGCTGTGGACAGCGCCTTGAAGGTAAGACTGGCAACCTGGTCGCCCCCGCCGCTGAGAAATCAGAAGATCCGTCCCATCACTTGCCCCCGCTGACCCCTGTCGAACAGGTGCCGACGCGTCGATTCATTGGTAGACACTGCCACCAACAGCGTCGCTTCACGTCAGGTGGCGCCCTATACCCTTGCTACTAGCACTGTAAGCACTGCTTGCACAGCAAGAGGTGGGTGGCCTGACAGGACTCCGGATCCTTTTTTGCCTGACCGAAGAACGCCGTCATGCCCACTTCCATGTCCTTGGCTACTTCCCAACACCAATCTGCCTTCTACTTTCCTCAACACCACCGTCAACGACTGGTGGTAATGACCATCTACATGCAATCATGGTGAAAGAGTCTCGCACTGCCTCGTAACAGGGCCCATCAATGCTCGCCCGACCATGAGTTGTATCTCCATATCGTCCACGATCACTTTGCGACAAGTTCGGGCTCTTGATGCCGTCCCCTGCATCACACATCTCTGCCTTTTGCCTGCCTACCACCGTCCTCGAGCGTCCCACTTGGCTTGAACATATGTCTTCCATAATCTCTACAACAAGGATCATTCATCCGCCTGACATGACGGGTTCCCTGTCTGCGCGTCACTGCTGCGAGCAAGCCATCTTCTTTGCCCTATAGGGGGGATTGTGCTCGATTCATCCGGCCATCATCCCAGGCAGGTCACTCACTCTGTCGAATACTGAGTCAAATCGCCAGGCCGCCGAACAGATCACCAAGGCCTGATCCTTCGAAGTGCGCCTCACTAGACTGACCGGCCGTCTGGTATTATGTAGCACATATTCCCGACCTCAATTCTCATCCCGTCATTCGAGGTCATTTAGTATAGGGTTGATGGGTATAACTGACCCATGAAAGAGCACGGTACGCGTTCTTCCCTGCTAGTGGCCCGGATATTGCCCAAGATAATATCCCCGCTTCGTCGGCTATTTTGGACGACGCACTAGACTTGAGCGAATAGCTGATTAGAACGCCTTGTCCCCTAAACGGAACTGGTTCTCAGTGCTGTGAGAATGCCAGGGGCCATCATCCATAGCGCGTAACTAGGGTCAATATCATCAGAATTGCTGTCGTGGGGCCTGTACTACTCAGTTGACTTGTTCGAAGCACAATACAGTTTCGAACTGCTTCGAATGGGTTGGCGGCTGACCTTCCGTGAATAAGGCTTTTAAAGAGCTGTTCTCTTTGTCGTTCTGCTGTGTGAGAGAGCTGCGGCTAGCCCATTTGTCATTCTCGAACAAGCGCACCATCCATCCCTGCGGTATGGTTGTATTGGCACAACTCAATGCGAGCCACGACATGTCGTGAAATTTCTGTGGAGAATGCCAGGAAGCACCATTGATATTATGCTGAGGGCAAGAAAATGAGGAAGAAGATATATGAACTGATGAGCGAAGAAAGAAGAAGAACTGGTCTAGGTGTATGTGATGCTTTACCCCTAATGATAGACTCCGTAATGATGCGTCGTGTAACATGATTGTGTCATAACAACATTGTCTCATGGCTCTCGTTCAAGCAGGCTAGCAGCCTCAACACCGTGCCTTGGCATGAAAACGCACTCGAATGGCAGCGGATGCCTACCCAATAGTGTCAGTCTTGGTCGTTCATCACATGACATGTGGCTAAGAGGGGGAATCAAAATCCAATACGAGGCATGAACATACCCGCCTAATCCAATAGAGATACCAACCCTGGGCTCCAAGACTTGACCATTGTCATCGATAGCCTTGTCAATGTGGAATGCTGACATGAGCGTCGCAACAAAGATCTGAACAGAAGCAAGTGCAAGGTGATTTCCTGGACATTTTCGCCGGCCGAAGCCGAAATTGCCCGGAGACTCTGGCTCACCGCGAAGGTAGCGGTCCGGGTCAAAGAGGACAGGCCGATCATACACAGTTGGATCAGAAGCCATGGCAGAGGCATTCGCAAAAACGATGGAACCTTTGGGTATGCGCATGCCATTGTAGACATCCTCCGCAAGACTTCTGTGTGGTATGACCAAAGGGTTTAATGGGAGACATCGAAGAACCTCCTTGATGAAACGATCCAGGTATTGGAGGCGTGGGCGATCATCAAAGGTTGGAAGGCGATCTGGCCCGACAACTTCATCCAGCTCTTCCTGTATGCGTCGCTGGACATTGGGGTACTTGGTCAGGAAGAGAACACAGGCCTGAAGGGTGCTCCAGGTTGTGTTGCCGCCGGCAATAAATATGGCGCCGGCTGCGCCTTTGATATCGGGAACGGTCAATTCCTGGGTCTTGCCAGACTCCTCGATGGCTCGATATTTCTCCAAATATGTCTTCATGAATGAAGAAGATGCGATACCGGCGTCAATTTCCTTCAAGCTTGCGGCCCAAGGCTCTTCATGGATAGTGCGTATGGTTTTCCGACTGCGTCGCGCGTGAGCCAGAGGCTCTGAGAGGTTGAGGCAGTCAGGAAGATATCTTGCAGGTGGAAAGAGATCGACCAGTGTCGAACCAGGAGTTCCACCCGTTGTCGTGGCATAATTCGCCGCCTGGGACATGGCGCAATACGGAGAGCCCTTATCTACGACCTCCTGACCGAAGGCGATCCGGAATACGATGCTTGTTGCCATAAGCAGCGTGATTTCTTTCCAGTCCGCGGGGTCCTGGAGTAGATTTCGAACTGTTTTGCGTGCTTCATGCTGCTGGATGAACTCGAATTTCCTGACGTTTGTGTGTGAGAAGGTCGTTTGGAAGAGGCGTCGATGAAGGCTAAAGCGAGGCCCGTAGCGGAGGAATGTAAGCGTGAGGCCCCATCCCATTCTGAAGACTCTTGTCAGCGTACTCGGCGCTTAAGGGGGGGAGTCAATACGCGGGGTGCGGACGTACATTTCGAAAAGAGTAAATCTCGGTCTATCGCAGTAAATGGAGCCCCGACGTTCAAGTAAGTCTTCAGCAGCCCGGCGGCTGTTCAGACAGATCATGTGTTGGCCGAGGACTTCAGTATGAATGACATCGCAATCTGGCTGGATGTGTAAGCCTCGAAACTACCAAGCAATTGACGCATTTTGCGTATCGTATTGGGTGCTTGCTAAACTGACCGTAGGCCTGACCCCATCGCAGGTAATCTTTCTCAGGGCTGTCGATGCTGACATGGCCCAGATTGCCAACCAAGAACCTGCCAGGGGGGCCAGGAGGGAGAGGGTACTGGTATCGCGGGGATGCATGGGAGTATCGTACAAGCCATATCAAAGCCAGGCCCAAGACCACCGCAAGAGCGGCCTGCGGATAGCTGGCAAGAGTCATGCTTCCCTACCAAAAAGACCTAAGGATGATCAAGGAGAGTGAGGATGAGGGAAGAACACGAAGCCGTAGGGTATGGGTAGATGCCAAAACTTGCGCCACCGTCATGTCGACTGGTCTGGCAGTAAATAGATGAACGTGGTCTTGGAGAATCCCGGCCAAAGGCAGGACTTTGTCCAAGGATAAGGTCGCAGGATGAAAAGAACCAGGAACACCTGGGTCTCACGACGCTGGAGCAATAAGAACGGCTCAGAGTCTCGATCCCAATTTCTACCACATCATCCCGCAGGCTGATCAAGTGGCACCTACTCGCGCGGGACGAAATGCCCACTTCAGCTCGGAAGCGTCTTGGCCAAGATGGCAATAAATCCAGTACAGGCATCCGCCCCTCAAGCAGGCACCGAGTAGCGAGAGGGTCCGAAACGAAAAGGAATGAATAGCTGAATACACCCCAGAGCCATGAGTGTGGGCGCTTCTGTGCTAGGACGAGGCCCTCGGATGTGCCTACATAAAAAGTAATCAGTGGAGGGAGGAGTCAGGGTTCGCATGTACCTGAGTAAGTCATCTGCAAACTTATGGTGAGGTAGGGTAAGGTAAGCTGGGCTCCTAGACAAGTGTACAGCCCATGACACGATACTGGACGCCGTCAGACCCGCTTGCGACTCCTAAGTGGCAGCTTTAGACTGTCCAAGATCCATCATCTCACATCTGCGTGTGTGAGTGTGTGTGGGTGAGACCCGCCAACGTGCGCGCGCCGTCACCGGGGACACTTCTGTGTGCGGTGCGGCGCGGCTCAGGTAGTGCGGTGCGGTGTTTTGCTGGTTTGGATTCTGTCAAGGCAAGACCGCTGGTCGTGAGAGAGTCAGGTCCTGCTTCTCCTCCTTGTCCCGTCCCGTGTCATTCTCCTTCGCACTTGCTTCCAATTGTGCCTACGTGCCAACCAAGGTACCTACCTCCAGCTAAGGCATGTACTTGACTACCTTCCTACCACCTTACTTCTTGTCTTACTGCGTCCTAGCTCCAAGCTCAGCGGCAACCAAGTCTCGATACCTACCTGGGTACGAGTCTAACACCTACCCGGTATGCCTTTCCAGATGTATCATTCAGGCTCGGGGGAAGTCATGCCCCGGCCCCTGCTCTCCTTCGTGGGTTCCCGACCCGATGGGACGTCGCATCCCACCATGTCCTATGCATTATTGCCAGCTGGTTTGCAGGGGGGCTGCTTCCTTCCCCCAGTTTACGTCTTCATGCAGGCTTCGCCATTTCTGAGATCGTCCAAATCAGTTCCTTCCATGTCCCACCTGAGTCGCCTGTGGAAGAATCGGTCACCATTCTGAACCCCTCTCTCTCTGACCCTTCACGGCTAGAGACCGCCGCCCAACCCCTCCCTTTCCCTTTTGGCAGCCGAAGCCGCCGCTCACGACACCAGAGCGGGCCAAGCTGAAGCCTTCGAGTCCATCCCTCGTCAGACGCCTTGACCCTCTTGTCAAAAGCCACAGCTGGGCCTCGGAGACCAGACAAATCTGGCCTCCGCTTCTCCCTTCCCTGTCCACACCATCGAGAACAGGATGGAGCGCTTCAGCCCACCTAGCCAACAACTACGGACCATTTGCGGTCTTGCGCAATGCAAGACTTCACTTGCTTGTCAGGCCCTCCAACCAATAAGGGCAAAGTCGCCGCCGCTGGGCATTATGGTCAAGAGTTTTTTTTTTTTGTTTTTTTTTCGCTTGTCGTAGAGAAAGGCGCAACCCACTTCATTGGCCGACGGCAGGGTCGGAAGAAGGTCCGAAATACGAGTAAGGGTCGGGGCAGCATCGACTGAATCATTGATTCAGGCTGGTTGGTAGTAGATCCTAGCCCTTCGTTGACCAAGCTCTTAGGCCCTAAGCCCCGAGTATCGCCGCGTTGGAGAGCTGTAAAGACGCCAGCTCGGTGACCCGCCTGGCGCCAGCGCCTCCTGGTAGCTAGTTTCTCAAGTCCTCGTCTAGTGTGGCCTTGCGACAGAAGAGTCGATCGGCCCCCATCACACCGACAGCTGCCACGTGGAAATGCCCTCCTCTGATTTCCCACCGTTCCCCCTCCTGCAATGCACCATGGCGCGCGAGTCGTGGCCCATGATGCACGTTCGACAGCCTACGGCCTGTACACTCCAAGGCTAGTCTCAGCATCCGTCAGACAAATGATTGTCTGATCTACCTTGCCTGAGATCTTCCGCTGCCCTAGACACAGATGCCTACGAGGCAGCTGGCACAGGTTCTGGAGCTTGAGCCTGGAAGGGCTGCAGAACCTGACTAGCATCGCAAATCTCGAACCCACCAATGCAGTGCACGGCGCTTCTGGCCCACCAGGTGTCCATCCAGCTGTCTCCGTCTTTGACGATAAGAGTTGGGCAATTTACTCGAGGTTCTGGGCACGTTGCCATGACTCGTTGTCGACCTCCCTCGCATCGCTTTCGCATCGACGACCTTGGGCGTCTGGCTCATGCTGGGAAGCCTGCGGTGGCAGATATCACCAGAGTGTTCGTCACGAACAGACCCTAACATGCACCGCGCTCAGAGCGACCTCTCCTTGGCGACCCTCGGTTCGAGGTGGCGATATGGGTCAAAGATTACCCATCCTCCGTCTTGGCTTGCTGGTAGGCTTGGCATGCTGGCGAATCGACGACTCGCCAACTGGCAGGGCTGGTGGTTGTTGGACAAGTGGTCTGGCAGTATGGGTAGCACCATTTGTGCGAGCCGGTGCCTTGGAATGGAAAACTGAGTGCCGATCGTCAACCCGCACAAGACCTGCGAAGTGCAAGGGCTGACCCCTTGCAACTGTGTGACTTGCTCCCGCGCAGCCTGCTCGGAATCATTTTCATATCCATCTGCCGCAAAGTACATCGAGCCTACGTCAGAAGCTGCTAGCACGTCGTGATCGATTTCGCTAGGACCAGCCGTCGCTCACCAACGCAGGGCAGTTCAAGATAACCCCACAACAAGCCATCGCCAGTCCTGAGGTGCCCGCAAAGGCCCGCGACCGAGCCGGCGCGACCGCCGATCCCCATGGCACCCACCGCCTCCCGCAAAGGAACCTAAATCTGCATCTGCGCCATAGCAGTCACAGCAAGCCTTTTCGCAGCTCAGGCTGCTGGACCAGCGCTAACTCGTGTCGACTGTTGGACTTGCTCAGGTAGGTAACTAAACCCATCATTTGCGGGCTTGCTAGGGGTCATTGGTAACTGCGCCTCGTGCGCTCGGCCACTTGGATCTCGTCATTGACCGCACGTCAATCCACCAGCCAGACACATCAGCAATTTTATACCGAACAAGCGAGTAAGGTCGTCTCCATTCTGACACCCCAACCGGCGGCGGCCAGCCCCCATACCTGAACACGCCCAGTGCTCAGCAAGCACCTATCGCGGATCGTCCAATGACACTGTCGCCACCCACTCTGATGACACAGATTGCACGCCTTGCTTCTCCTCACGATCTGAGCCGATACTGAGAACCCAGCACCTAGCAGAAACCAACCGACTCGGGCACCCCGCACATGCTCTTGCCGTCTTTTCGCCAACCCTCTTGCCGCTCCTGATCCACACCTACTGGCCGGAGTGTCGCGGTCGCGGTCGCGGTCGCAGTCGTAGTCGCAGTCGCAGGCCATTGCGGATATGGAGCTCGACGACGACGCCAAGCCTAACCTGACTGCGCTCAATCGCAACCTGAGCTCTGGCGGCTGTAGCGACAACTTCAAAGACGAGCGAAACGGCAGCGTCGACGATTGTCTGAAGCACGGCACAGACAGCAGTGCATCGGCTGCAAAAGCTCCCGTCAAACGTAGGGCCCCGATTGCCTGTCGAAGGTTTGTCCATTCCTTCTCACGCTCTAGCAGCCCGCACCGTCGACCCACGACGCAAGCTGAACTTGAGCTGTGGCACCACGGCGAAGCCCTATCCGCGCTCAGCCATACTAATAACCTGCTCTGCTTAGATGTCGCCGCATGAGAAGCAAATGTATTCATGAGAAGGCATCACCACCTTGTAATGCCTGCAAGGAGGCTGGCTTAGGGGCCTCCGATTGGTATGCAGTTTCCTCTTGAACATGAAGCTTGATTTCGTGGGAAGTCCCAGACGTATTACGTTTCTTGGCCACTCAGCATTTTCCCTGTTCGAGGGCAGCCTGACGATGATCGTGACTATCGCCATCCACGCATGAGAGCTGAAAAGGCTACCAAGCGTGACTTAATTAAGACACGTCGCGAAGTCCTCGACGCCCCCGTGTTTCCTCTCAGCGTGGCGCCTGCGGATCGACTCAAGCACGCTGATGAATGGGATCTTATGCCACCGCTCCCCGAAATTGTAGAGGCAGTTCACCTCTTTACTCGAAAGTATTTCCAATTAGGCTTCATTCCTAAGCAGTTGTTCCCCGCCCGGCTTCAGCGCGATCACCGGTCCGTCAGCGTCTTTCTACTCCTTAGCATCCTCAGTATCTCAGCACGCTTCTCCCTCGCCCTGACGCGGCGTTATCAGGGCGAGATCAGGGCGGCCGACTTTTTCATGGAAAGGGCCAGTACCTTGGCACTCAATGAACTGTACTCGGAGCCAACGCTTGAGCGGTGCCAGGCGTTCTATCTTCTGAGCATCGCCCAACAGGGAAGTGGCTGGCGAAATCGAAGCTATGTGAGTGACATCCCGATCATCGGGTATGGAAGCGCGGTCCTAATGCGATGTAGATCAACCTCGGGATTGCCACGAGGATGGCCGTCCTCATGCATCTTCACCGCGAGGAGACCTATGTTATCAAGGTACCGACGAAAGAACTGGTTATCAAGGCCGAGTCCGCCAGGCGTACTTTGGTAAGGCTTCCCTGCCTGCCATTTCTTGATCTGACTAACAGTCAAATAGTGGATGCTCCATAGTGAGTCTCAGCACACCTTGCGCAACACT